TCTTTTTTAACCACTGTTGGTATGGCATCTGTAGGAGGGACAAGTGCCCTGATTTCAATGTAATTATGACTTTGTATGTGTGAAAACTCTGCAACCAGGCTTGCACTGGGATAGCTTCAGACTCTTGTTTTGTCACTGAGGCACAGTTGGGTGATCTCCAAAATAAAACTATTGATTGTGTTGTAATTGGCTCATGGGATGAATTATCTTCTAAGTGGATTCTCTGATATGCCTAGAGCTGTTGCCTTAGACTACTGCGAGAACTTGTACCCTTACTCCAAGAGTTGTTTAAAACATGCATTCTGTGAGATGTTAGAACTCTAACTGCCTGTGTTATTGTTATTGTCTGTGGTCCCTTCTGCACTTCTTTCCCATTTAGCATTCTTATGTGAAATCTGAGGCAAAAAAAGAACAAGAATCTAAATCTAGCAGCAATATCTTGCTGAGTCACTCAGTTTGGGAAGGAATTTAAATTTTGCTGTTTCTATCTCTTTAATGGCTCCCCCTTTCAGTCCTTTAAAAATAAAAAAACTGGACTGGGGCTAAAAGTCCACAGTCTGTTCTAGAGTGTCAATTCAGAAAATTTCATTTATGTTCCTTCCCCCATTTTTAGTTTGAAAGACTGTAAAACAAGTGCAATTTGTGGCATGAAGTGGCTTATTTTCAGGGAACTTAGAGTTTTGTTATCTAGTCTGGGTTAAGCATACTGTGTGCTATTTAACTGCTGGCTTTGTTGCTAGGAGAGAGTAGCAACTGCTTTACATTTCACTGGTTTCATGTTGTAACGGGGCATGATGTGAACAAAAGTGACAGGCAAAGTTTAATAATTCACAAACAGAAGATCATGGGAGTCAGAATTCTAAGCTCCTGTGGACCTTGCTTTGCTCTTTCCTTGGGTAGAGCAGTTTCTAGAAATGAAACGACTGGGGATCTGGAGTGTGTAGTTGAGAGGACATTAAACAGAAAGCTGGTGTTCTGCTTACGGAACAAATGTCTCTTTCTTTTCCTTAGCAGAAACCTAAATTTCATTAAATTCACCTGAATAAACATGATTTTGGAAGCGTAGCATTCTGCAGTTGTATTGGTGGTTAAGAGCTGAAAAGTCCTTACTCAAGCTATGTTGTGAACTTGTATCTTCC